ATGAGCTGTTCTGGAGCTCTCTGATCCAACCTGTGGGCCAAGTAATGCTGCCTTCATACATACCAGTGTTTTGAAATKCCATTGTGCACAGGGAAGAGCTCAGCTGGCTCAAATATGAATATCCACAAGGTAATGGATGTCTCCACTTGGTATGGAGTGCCTTTAAAAGCCAGGCCTTCCTCAAGTAAGCTGTTAATTGTATATTGCCTGAGACAAGTATAGAAAAATTACTCCAGCTACAGATGGGTTTTAAAATTAGAGTTGAATTTCAAATATCAAAATGTTTTGTTCTTTCTTTTTCTCAGGTTTTTTTTTTCCTTGTCTATTAGATAGATAAGAAACCAACCCAAAGCTTTGGGTCCAAACTTTGATATAGCTGCATGCTAGAGCTCTGGGGTGCCTGCCTGGGTTTTGGCCTGCTCCCATCTACATCTATTGTATTAAAACAGTTAAAGGCATTCTTCTCTTCCCCCTTTCCCCCTGCAGCTGGAAAGCACTATCCTCTGCTCCYGTGAAAACAAACATCAATGCTGCCTGTTGTCTAAGCCTCTGGTTGGTTCAGCTTTTGCTGGAGTGGCCTATATATATATCTGTAACTTCACCCAAGAGGAAGGTGTGTAATTGTGGGATTAAAATCTTTCTGATCAKACAATTTTCAAATGCATAAAAAGTTCAGCCTCTGTCAGGAACCTCCCCTGTTTAGACAAGGTGAGCAGGAAATTCAAACATCTTCCTAAAATGTGAGGGGTGGAGAAGGAGCAGGAATATGATGACATCGGCCAATTTAACTTGGTGAGATTCTGGAGTGTGAGGACTTTCTAATATTGTGTATTTTCACATGTAAAGGGGATGCTCAGTGCTGTAATGGGGTGTTTCTGTTGATGTCTCTGTGGATAAGCTGCTTCTCCTCTGTGCCTCAGCACTGGAATGAACATCAAAATCTAAGACACAGGCACCATGGTAAAATTTCCCTKCATTTAAATACTGTCAAATACTTTTACAGAGAGACTTCATGTTAGAGTACCACGGCAGAAATTGCTTGAATGTTTTCTTCTCTGAAAATAAATAATAGACTAGAAATAAAAGTTGAGAAAGAAAGGCTTCTTCCTTTCTACAATATCCAGAGGAATATGTGCACCAGGGCACTCTGTCAGCACCAGCTGAYGATTCCTGCATCTGGGTCCTCTTTCACAGCAAAGCCTGTATTCCTAGCTTTGGAACAAARGATTACCAGAGATAACTAATGGAAAACATATCCCATTCATTGACTAAGCAGCCTCACCTTCACCCTGCAGCTAATTACAAGGTTAAAAACTGTAGTAAAAATATCCATATTTATCCATATAACCCATTTGCTGTAATTCTGCTCCAGATAAATGACGTTATTTTCCAGTATCATCTCTGACCGTTTTATCTTTTTCTATGTAKACTTGTTATGACAAAACCTCTTTCATTTTAATTAAATTTCTCCAGATATCATCTTCATAAAACTAGCACTCAGAGAGGCATAATCATTATTTTTAATAGAAGAGAGTTAATTGTTTAAAATGCTGGACGATTGTTACTACTTATGTTTCCTGTCTGCAAGGAGAAGATGAGCAAGGGYTYCTCAGATCTGCTTTTCCAAGGTGATCTTTCTACCGGTTTAAGACCTAGTCTACAAAAATGGGTAAGTGCTTTGCTTATTTGGAGCATGCAAATAATCTGGTAACTTCAATTAGATTGTCGGGATGTTTCAATATCACAGGCTTAAAATGAAGTATTTGCTTAAACATTTGACTGCCTTTGGGATGTGACCTTTTCTGCAAAATGGCTGATTTTGTAGGACTCATTTCTAGTTAACAGCTTCCACGCTCAGAACTGGATTGAGATTTCCAGTTCATTTCATTTGTATCACTGGAGAGCTATGAGGTGGTAACAGYGTTCAGCTGCTGGAATGATCCAGCCTCAGCCAAGGTGAACAAGCCTAGAAATGAAGGAGAATGCAGCCTGTGCCTTGATTTCCTTGTGGGGAAAGGAAGCAAAAATGACTGCAAGTGTAGGACTCCTATCAGTTTCAAGCTTTGCCATGGCAAGCAAATGCCAAATATTTTCTAAAGTGACCTGAATTAACCTTCCTGTAAGGGCAAAACATGTGGGCCCCCATGCAGGCRGAGCTGTCAAGGACACAGCAGCCCTGCCTCCCTGCTGACAATCCACAGGGATGTCTTAGGTACCAAAGGACCCTTCAAATAGTCCCAATGATCTGTGTCTAGGCATTAGAGTTGTCCCTTCCTGACAGAATGGTCCCAAATGGGGCTTTGCTCCCACCCACACCAAGGACAGACAATCCTKCTGCTTGGCCAAGTTCTGAAGTTCATTCTCAGGAAAACTCCCACTGATCTGAGGCATGCCAGGATTTCATTTACTGCTGGGAAATGTGAAACCACCCTGGCTAAAGTATCTTAATTAGGCCATTAGAGYCTGGCATAAAATGGCTGAGATAAACAGGATCAGGAGGGCAAAGGATATTGTCAATGCATTGTAAAGCCTTTGCTGCTCAGTTCAAGCTGTCCAGAACCACATTCTCCTGAAATAAAACACCTGAGCCCTCTGTGTGGTGGCTCCTGGAGGGCCCCTGGGTCAATGTTTTTCACATAGTCAACATGAGGGCAGGGAGCCAGAGCTTCTCTCCCCTCTAGTGCATTGTGCTGCTTAGACTTTCAGTTTCTAATTTCAGTGTGTTTTAATTTAGTCCAGCTTTGGGGTTTGCTGTGTATGTTTGAGGCAGTTTGAAGGGCCTCATCTTTGGTTTTCCTGTGCAAGGGCTGGCTCCTGAACGAGGGCTCTGGCACCTGTTCTCTTCATAAGACTTTTCCAAGAATGATTTAACAGCTCTGATGACTTCAGGAGACCAAGCCGGAAGAATGTGGGCAAGTGTCAGGTCTGGGGTCTGTATATGTGTGTGTACAGAAGCAGTTCACAGAATCATAGAATAGAATCACAGAATGGATTGGGCCGGAAGGGACCTTAAATATCACCCACTTCCATCCCTTGCCMCGAGCAGGAATACCTTCCACTAYCCCAGATTGCTCAGAGCCCCATCCAGCCTGGCCTTGGACACTTGGACATGGCTTCTCTGGGCAACCTGTGCCAGGGCCTCATCACTCTCACAAGGAAGGAYTATTCCTAATATCCAATCTAAACCCATCCCTTTTCAGTTTAAAGCCATTCTCCCTTCTCTTGTCACTCTAGGCCCTTGTAGAAAGTCACTCCCCAGCTTTCTTGTAAGCCCCCTTTACATACTGGAAAGTGCTAKAAGATCTCCCCAGAGCTGCCTTTTCCATAGGCTGAACAACTSTAACTCTCTCAGTCTGGCTTCATAGGAGAGGTCTTTGCTGGTGCTCACCATAAAAGAACAAAAGAGGGACCTCTAGAATGGTRTAAGATACAGTTAGATGGTAAAACCCTTTTTTTTAATTTTTTTATTTGGAGACTCATTGCTTCTGATCTCAACAATTTATGTTTAGAAGTGTGATAAGGTTGTAAGTTATAGATCCAAAATATTAAATCTAAGTGAGAAATTCAGTTTATTACTCACTACCAGCAGTCTGCACACTCCTGTGGCTAGATTACTATTATAATTTTGAGTTAGTATTTCATCAGGCTCTTAGACCTGCATGAGTTATTGTTTCCTTGTTTTTTTCTTTTTATTCCAAACAATCTTTTTGGAAAAATATACTRGGTAACAAATACTACTGCTGAGTTTGCTTGTAATTAGGAGAGCTGTCTCAAGGAGGTAAAATATACTTCAAAAATCATAAAAAGTAGAAATAGTTTGATTCTTAGAACCGATAGTGAAAACCACATTTTTGTTTAAAGAATGCACAGTATTTTTAAAAATAAGAGGCCCCTGCTGGGGATAGCCTTACMTTGGAACTGAACACTTCCATCCACTGCAGAATGCGCAGTTTGGAGGGCTAGTCCTTGGTTTCAGGCAGTGAACTGAAGCAGAGTAGGTTTGCAGAGCCCCCCTGAGCCCCTCTAGCCACCAAGGCATGGGCTGYAGCCTCTCTGGAAACTGTGCCCTCTTCCAGCTGGGTGTGTTGGGGAGCTCTGGCAGCCCCACTCTGGTGAGCATGCAGAGGCTGCAATGTCCTGGGCAGAAAAGGCTCCCTGAGTGCTCTCTGCACTGAAGGAAGTTTTTTTTATTGTTAAATTGGTGATAATTTTCTTATGGAAATGTGTGCTTTTGGGGGTGAGAGGAGCCGCAGCTGAGAGGGGCCCTGAGCCCTGTGTGTCCCTGTGTGCAGGGAGGGCTCCCAGCAGGGCCCAGGCTCTGCTCCGGGGGGCCCAGCAATGGCCCCAGAGGGACGGGCAGGAACTGATGCCCAGGGRGTTCCACCYGGACAGGAGGAGGAACTTCTGTCCTGKGCAGTGACCGAGCCATGACCAGACTGTCTGGAGAAGGTGTGGAGTCTCCSTCRCTGGGGATATTCCAGAACTGTCTGGACACAATCCCGTGCCGTGTGCTCCGCTATGGCCCTGCTGGAGCAGGGAGGTGGGACCAGGTGCCCCACTGTGGGCCCTTCCACCCTGACCCATCCTGTGATTCTGTGAAATCCTGCACAGCACTGCAGCATGRTTTGATTCTGATTAAAAACATTAATTAAAGGAGTCGTGGTTCCTGAAGTTTGRAAGACACAAAATAGAAGGCGACCACACCAAGCACACTCTCTCAGCGGAGGGGGCTGCTGTGGGGAAGCGTCGCCGTCCCCTCACCCTCCCGCTGTCGGCACTGTCCCCTCACCCGCTGCTCCGCAGGTTTCGGTCCCGGGGAGCCGCCCGCGACCCCGCACGACGGGGAATCGCTGAGGTACCTCACGGGGGTCTCGGCAGCCCCTCTCCCGGCCGGCGGGACAGCAGGAGCTGTCTGCCCGGGGCGGTGAACGGGGCGGGGAGGGGCGGGGGCGGGCGGGGGCGGAGGCGCGGGGGGCGGGCGGGGGCCGGGCCGTGCAGAGCCGCGCTCCGCGCTCCTGTCAGCCCTCACCGCGCCTCGGGGGCCGCGCTCAGCCCCCCGCCCGCCTCAGCCTCCGGCCTCCCCACGGATCGCTGTCACTTGGCTTGATTTTATTTTAATTTTTTTTCTTAATTTTTTTTCACCACGAAGGGGAGGAGCGCGAAACCCAGCTGGAAAATGAGCCAGAATGTCTGAGAAAATGTCCAGCTTTCTGTACATCGGGGATATCGTGTCCCTGTACGCGGAGGGCTCCGTCAATGGGTTCATCAGCACGCTGGGGTGAGTGGGGGCCGGGGCCGCGGAGCCGTGCGCGCTGTGCGGAGCCGGCCCGCGGGCAGCGCCGGCGGCAGCGGCACAGGAAGGGGCGGCAGCGCGCCCTGCTCGGCGGAGCGGGGAAAGTAGGAAGTGATGGGGAGCGGCGAGGGATGAGAGAAGTTCCCGAGCGGGGCCCGGGCGGGCGGCGGTGCCGGYGGCGGCTCCCGGGATCCCCCCTCGGCTCCTGCCGGGGCTGCGGCCAGCCCCGACCGCAACACGAGACCCCGCTCTATGCCCGACCCGAATGCTTTCGTACGGTCATTATGTATAGCTGACCTTTTAATTATTTAATTAATTTGTTTTAATTGCCCGTCTGAGACTTTTTGAAAAAGACATAAAGGGCAAAACCCTTTCCTTTCTTGCTCATCATCGTAATCAGCTCGTTAAATGTGCATCACTTTATTTTCGGTTTGTGTCCAGCACAATCTGGTTGTCAGTGATCAGAGACTTATWATCAGATGTGTAGCTTCATGGGGATGCTTTTCCCCTGAGCTTTCTCTTTGCGGGGTGAAAAGATGTACCTTAGCTGTGGCTACTTCACTGAACCACTGCTTGTTTCAGTTTTTTGTTAACCGTGACCACTTTAAGTYACCCTTTTCGAATCCAGGAGAGAAAGCCTCAGCGAAGGATGGCACCTATACTCTGATACATTTCTTTACATGGATACTTTGCTTAAAACCATCATGTAGCTCGGTTGCTCACTGCTCGGTTGCAGTGAGATGACCCGAGGGTGCAGTGGTTCCCTCTGATGTTTGTAGGAGAGCTGCAGTAGTTTCAGCGACTTTGTGCCATGTCCAAAGCAAGCGTGTCCTGAAACCTTTTTCACTGCTAACAATTCCTGCGCTGCATGGTTGTAAGTGACGCGATTGGCAAGGCAGTTCAAACTCTAGTAAATAACTGCTTAAACATTAGTGGGACCCTCGGAGTAGCCGTGAAACATGCTAAGGCAAGTTAATGTGTGCCTTGGGTATCGCTCCTGTGCTTGTGCTAGGCTCTCTGTGTTCTGAGGTCCCTGCGATGGGGGGATTGTTGGTATTAAATTGAAACAATGAATGTCTAAGCTAACTTGTGCTGCTGTTACTGGAAAATCAAGGCCTTTTATATTTTTAAAAATCTTATTATTGCATCCAATCCTTGCTGTTCACTCTTTTGATATGKTGACAAGTATTTTTCCATGGTTTGTTCCTCTGTTTGTTAATTTGGCGCCTTGTCTCTCCGTGACTCCCCATGTTGTCTCACATCTTTTGTTTTGCTGACTCTTRCAACTTCAAATCCTGTCTGAAAACTTTTGCTTTCTGCAACTGTTAATTGCTGGATATTGTTTCTTATTCTTGTTCACCCCAGCACTTCCTTTTGCTGGCACAGTCTGCTGGTGGTTGGTTGTGGTGTTGTGTCTCATTGCAGGGTTCTGTTATCTGGAGGAAGCTGAACGTGCCGTGCTTTTGCTTTTCTTTGTGTTCCTCCTTTCTGAGAACACCTGCTTGTGCCATAGAGGTTCCTGTGACTGGGGCTTGTACAGTTGTCACTTGAATATGTGTTAGCATTGCCTTGTCACAGTATTCATACTGCTGATCCTCCCCTGATCCCTTGGAGTTAAGGCAGGACATTTACTCCCAGTTTTTAAGATGAGAAGTCAAGATCCAAGCTTGACTAGGGCACGTGGGAGCGCTTCACTAGAAGAAACAAGTGAGCTCGAGCCAACACTCTCTCCAAGGCTCTCTTTTAGCCAGAAAACCCAGCTCAAGAAAGCTATCTGGGATGAGACAGGAGTTCAGGAATGCTGACTTACCTCTGCTGGCTTTTCAGTAGAGCTTTTTTTTTGTGCCCTGCTCCCTGGCACAGTAAAGACAACAACCAGGATGCTGGAGTGGAGGAGCTCCGGGAAACTTGAAGTCACCAGTGGAAAACTCCCATGTCTACTCAATGGGAATGCTGACCCCTCTGCTGGTGGTACAAGAGCTTGGACTGAAATTTAAAGTTGTGATGCCAAGTGATGTTATCTGTGCCAGCTATTGCAATTGCTGCCTTTGGACTGGTTGCAGCAACACAAGAGACAGAAAAATGTCATCTGTCATGGCCAGCTGCATTTCTGATGTGCAAATATTGTTGAACTCCTGTACCTCCTGCCTTCCTGCAGGTTCTCTGCAAACCTCTGGTAAGAGGAGGCCTCACCTTCCAGAGGTGCCTCTTGGTGAGGACAGAGTGGGGTAGGATTGGGAGTGGTGACCTAATCACTTCATTTGACTGATGTGAATCCTTGTTTAATTCCTTTCTTGGATTGCTCAGGRTGTTCTGAAAAGTTAGGTTGCCCAGCACCTTTCTCTTACTGTTGAGCCCATTTGGGAGTCTCATGCGATTTCAAAAAATTGAAATCCTGCTCAGGTCTGGTGACTCTGCAGCAGGCAGAGGGTTTACTTTAAGCTGTCAAAGGCTAATTGTTTCTTAAAGTGTGAGTGAAGCCATTCTACAAAAAGACAAAAAAAATGCACAGCACCTCTCCAAATCCTTCATATCTGGACCCCACTCCTTGAAGGGTTGATCCAGCTCAACACATAAGTTTTGTGGGACATTTCTAAGCATAGGCTGTTTCATGAATTTTGGAGTATTTTCTCCTCGCTTGCTAGTGCAGAAATTTTCATATGCTCTGTGTTCCCAGAAAACTTAAAGCCGAGAGGAAGCTGTTGCTGAGCTATCCAACTTGTGTRTTGGGCCAGGTTAATATCTGTTATAACCTGAGTGTGGAGATCTTCCTCTAGTGTGGTTTAGGAGCAGTAAACCACCTCCTTTTAGGAGACAGAGGATCCGTGCCCTGTGGCCCTGTGTCCAGGTGAGCATGCTGAGAGGTGCTAGGTGATGGCAGGAGTGCCTTTCCACACTTCCCTCTACAAGGAGTGTTTGAGAATTGCTGGAACATTATGTAAGTGGATCCCAAAGGCTTGCAGCACTCCTTGGAGCTGGAATAAACCTGTGTTCTTGCCCACCTTGTTTCTGAATGRTTTCATTGCTGTAAACAGCTGTTGGATGTGAGCTTGAGGGCTCTAMATTCAGATCTGATCCCTCTTAGTCAGAAGAGGAAACTGAATCCCTCTTCCGYATCTGGGCTAGTGCTGTAGGGTGGGTTGGGGGCAGGGAAGTTCGGTAYTGCTGCTCCAATTCTTGCCCCTGGGTCTACATTTTAAAAGAGAGCAGTTTTGCTTGTTTTTGGAAGATAAGTTGTAACTACCTGTCTCCAGGATGTTGTTGCAGGCTGTGGATGGCACATGGAGAGGAGCCTTTCTGGGTAATGGTACAGAAAATGGTACCGTTTTTTAGGCCTCAGCCTAAAAATCCTCAACCATTCTCCATTGACTACTGCAGACCTTTGGATTCTTGAGGTACTGAGAGCCCAAGCAATTCCCTCTTCTTTTTTTTCTGCATGTCTTTGGGCTTACTCTGGGTTTGGATGCTGCTTTGAGGTGCTGATGATGTAGTCTGGCTTTCCASCCTCAAGGCTCTCTGAGTTTCCCTCCCTGCCCTCCTTCCTTTTAAAAAATGAGAATGCTTTTGGGTCTACAAGCTGATAGTCGAGGAAATGTTTGGGAGAAGCCGTTTACATTCATTGGTAGCACTCTGTAATTGCAGTATATATTTGGTACTGGATTTTTGAACTGTGCTATTACTGTAGGGCTTTCCCTTATTTGCTTAGCTTTTAGTGTGTTTTGGCTTCTGCAGAGTTGACGGCTTTATGTCCCACAGGAGGTGTGTGGCAGGGCTAAGTGATTAATCYAGTGATCTCATGTTGTCCTAGGCTGGTGTTGAGACCACTTTTCCCAGTATTTTGGCTGTAAATGCTCTCGATRATGCATGCTGGGAATTAAAACTGCATTAATCACCTATCAGTACAATGAGGGGAAGAAACTATTCTCGATTGGAGAGGTGGAAAGAAAAAAAGAGTAARGAGCAGCAATGGCCAGGATCAGCTGTAGGAAAGTTTGACGATGGGCCTGTTAGTCACCATGGGGAGCTGCATTCCTGTCTCACCTCCATAAATGTGCAGTGAGAGATCTCATGGAACATAATTAATGGAGCATGCAGCAGCACCTGCCTGCTTTGTGATAGATGGTGCTGGATGACGAGGGGTGCTGAGACTCACTTCTAATTAGCAGCAAAGATTATGTTGTAAAGTATTTTGGGCTCATTTCCTTACATTTAATGCTGACTTTTCTTGAACAACTTCCTTAATTTGTGGAAGTGCTTGCTGAAAATTTCTTACTTGTAATATGTATTTTTCAGGCTTCTTCACTGGGTTTTTGTGAATTAGTTGTCTTATTGAACTTGGACTTCACGCAGCAGTTTAGTCAATCATACTCTGTGAAGACACAAGAATAAGGAGAAAGTGCTTAAGAAGCAGCATAAATCAAAATTTTCAAGTATCACAAAGACTAAAATATGTCATCTTGGAGGCTTCAGGAATGGTACTAAGAGAAAAGATGTAGTGCCTGATGATGCTTACAAGGCACCAATGTAGTGTTTTCATCAATGCACTCATTTTTTAACCTTCCTCTCCTGCTGTCTGTAAGTGTAAGCTATGGTTAAGGAACAGAGCATCCGTCCTTTAATTAATAGCAAATTTTTCTTTCAKGTGCCAGCTAGAAAAAAGTAATTAGTCAGGAGAGAATAAAAAGCCTGAAGAAAGTGAGAGTGGTGTAACTARAATTGCTCATAATTTGATTCTGACACATGCAGAATCAAATAATACCTAAAAGAGAGAAGGGAATATGAATGTCAGCTTTTCTGTGGGAAAAAGTACTTGTGTRTTTTGTTTCTGAGGTACTTTATCCTCTAAACTGATAGAAAGAGTGAAATTTGATAGTTTTGATTGTGTGATCTGAGGTTTTTTTTTTTTAATACTGTGTAGGATTGGCATTTTCAGGAATATGTTCTCTTGCTTGTCTTTTTAATGCAAGAGCCCTGGTCTGAATTCT